TCCTCTCCTCCTTCCTTCCTCTCCTCCCTTTTCCCTTTCTCCTCCTTCCTTCCTCTTCCCTTCCTCATTCCTTCCTTTTCCTTCTTCCTTCCTCTCCTCCTTCCTTTCCTCCCTTTTCCCTTTCTCCTCCTTCCTTCCTCTTCTCCTTCCTTCCTCTTCCCTTCCTCATTCCTTCCTTTTCCTTCTCCTTCCTTCCTCTCCTCCCTTTTCCCTCTCCTCCTTCCTTCCTCTCCTCCTTCCTCTTCCCTTCCTCTCATTCCTTCCCCTCCTTCCTTCTTCCTCTCTTCCCTTTTCCCTTTCTCCTCCTTCCTTCCTCTTCCTCTTCCCCTTCTCCTCCTCCTTCCTTCTTCCTCTCCTCCTTCCTTCTTCCTCTCCTCCTTCCTCCCTCTTCCCCTTCCCTCCTCCTCTTCCTCTTCTCCCTCTTCCTTCTCCTCCTTCCTCTTCCTCTCTTCCTCCCTCTTCCCCTTCTCCTCCTCCTTCGTTCCTCTTCTCGCCTTCCTCTTCCCCTCTTCCTTCCTTCCTCTTCCTCCTCCCTCTTCCCCCTCCTCTGCTTATATTATATAAGCCTCTTATTATCTTACTATTGAAGTTTATTAGGCAGGCATCGAAAGTCGGGTTTTTGCAAACGATCCAGCAACAGAACTTTCAAGGAGAAATGTACAATTCAGAGCTACCTTTCTCCTTGCAGAGAGCGGGGGGGGGGGAAATCTCTTCTTGCACTAGACCCGGCGGGGGCCGGGATTCGAATCCTTCCCCCACCCCCAGGGCGAAAGGGTCCGGCTTCAAATCCCGCCTGCGCCGGTCGACCAATCTCAACCGGGGGCCGAAGCCAGAAAAACCGGTCCGCGATCCTCCCCCCGCCCCCCGCTTCCCGAACGCCCAGACGGGAACGTTCCTTCCGCCTCGCCTCATTTGCATGAAAAAGGCGCCCCCCCCCGGCTGGGCATAGAGAAGGCGTCCTAAAGGGGGGGGGGAAGCACAACAGATCCTACCTAGGCGCCAGTGTTTCTCAACCTTGACAATTTTAAGGCATGTGGACTTCAACTCCCAGAATTCCACAGCCAGCAATGCTGGCTGTGGAATTCTGGGAGTTGAAGTCCACATGCCTTAAAATTGTCAAGGTTGAGAAACCCTGCTAGACATTTCGCGGGGAGGGGGAGTGGGCGGGGCCAATCTCGGGTTCTTCTCCCCGCTGGGCCAATGCGCGGGAGGGAATTTAATGGTCAAGGGGGCGCGGCTGCTCGGAGGAGGCGGAGCCCGAGAGGAGCCACCGCCCCGCCCCCGAAGCCCCGCCCCGCCCTCTTTTCTCCCATTCGGCCGCTGAAGTCACCTGCGTTGTATCCGCTGCCTTTCCCCCCACGGGGCTCCTTCCTCGCCTGCTTCCCCGCCCTGCCTCGGCGCTGGATCCTTCGCGAGAGGCTGCTTCCTCGGCCCCGATCCTGCCAGGTAGGGATCCTTTCTCTCCCCCACCCCGCTTCCCCTCCGGCCTTCAAGTGCACTTTGCAAAAATGGGCTGAAATGCAGCTTAAACCCCATTTAGAGAGAATTGAAATGCAACGGAAGGAAGGGTTGGCTTTTTCTCGGCAATCGAATACGGAAAAGGGTTCCAGCCGGGCTTGTGCAGGGACAACAACAACAACAACAACAACAAAAAAGAATGAAATTTAGATGCGCTGTGAGAAAAGGATCCTAACGACTTAAAAAAGCCAGCCATCATACACACACACCCCCCCAATCCATATCCTAAAAAGCCACTTACAACAGGCACTATAAATACCACACACACGAGAACGGCAACACACGCACGCATACATACACACCCTGCTGGAGAGAAGTTCCCTGAAGATTGGCTCCGGTTTGAAAGTTGGGAAGACAAAATTGACCCACCCAGATTGGATCCTGCAAAAAGGATATTTATTTATTTATTCATTCATTCATTCATTCATTCATTCCCAAAAACAAATTGCTCAGCTTCTCCCAACCCAGAGGAGAGATCCTCTTTGTGCTTAACCCAGAAGGAGAGGAATGAATATCCCTTGTTTTTTTAATTCTTAATATTTTGCTTGCTTTTGTTTGACAAAAACTGGACGGGAATTTCTGTAAACCGATAGCTTCTTTGGCCCTGAACAGGCCTGCGATGTGACAGGCCCCTTGTTGCAAGGCTGGTCTTGATAGGCAACGGTAGAAGAAGATTGAGAAAGAAATGCAGGAAAAAGGAACGGGAACTGACCTGTAAATGACAAAATGGAGAAAGAGGAAGAGGAGGAGATTCAGGTTGGTTGGTGGCCTTGATCAGAACAGCCCCAGGGATCTCAAACTGTAGCAACAAATGAAGGGGAAATGATGAAATAGAAGAATGCAGAAAAACCATGTTAGTTTTTTATTTGCTAAAACCTGAAGGCCATGATGTAAAATTGGGTTTCTCCTCCAAAGCCGGGATCAGTCTTCATCCCAAAAGTTACAGCTCCCTCAGCTAAACCATGATTTGTGCAGCTTCCATTCCTGGTGGAGTAATTCCAGTGGCTGGGTAGATATAATACATTAAGCCAAAAGGAACTGGATAAGGACAGAGCCCAACGTCTGACCCGGGCAAGTAGGACCGTCAGGAGGGTGCGGGGGGTGGACAACATAAAGCTTTGGAGTCCTTCATGAACAGAGATACAGGTAGTCCTTGAGTTATGACCACAACAGAACCCCAAATCAACACTGCTAAATGGGAGAGGCAGTTGTTTAAGTGCGTGGTGCCTCGTTTGATGACTTTTGCCACAGTTGTGAAGCAAATCACTGCAGTCGCTAAATGAATCATGCAGCCGTTAAGCCTCGCCTCGTTGGTTTTGCTTGACAGAAGCCGGCTGGGAAGGTCGCAAAAGGCGATCATAGGACCCCGGGATGCTGCAACCGTCATAAAGACATGCTAAATTACCAAGCACCCAAATTTCGACCATGTGGCTGTGGGGGTGCTGCATGGTCAAAAAGTGTGAAAAGTGATCATAAGTCACCTTTCTCACTGCCATTGGAACTTCGGACACTAAACAAATGGTTGTAAATCAAGGACTCCCTGTACCACTCTCACTAAACCAGGGGTAGGCAACCTTGGCTCTTTTATGACTCGTGGACTTCAACTCCCAGAATTCCTGAGCCAGCCATGCTGAGGGGAAAAGGAGAGGTTTCCAAGCTGAACCATGCTGGCTCAGGAATTCTGGGAGTTGGTCCACGAGTCATAAAAGAGCCAAGGTTGCCTTGTTGTTGCAAAGTCATGTCCAAACCATCACGACCCCATGGACAACTTCCTCCAGGCCTTCCTGTCCTCTACCATCCTCTGGAGTCCATTTAAGCCCCTCCACTAAACCATAAAGGAACCACACGAAGCCATTTTAGGAGTGAGGCCAGGTTAATCTGTGATGGCCCAAAGGACAACGCCCACGAATACGTACACAGGACGTACTGTTCACATGTATGGACCCACCTGACACATGCAAATCCCATGGGGGTCATTACAGTGGATCTGACATGTCATCTGTATCACACACACGCACGCGCACACACACACCCGTCCCACCCGAGCAAAACAAAGGCGGAGGTCATCCCTCTTCCAGCAGGCAAATGGGGAGGAACAGGGACTCTGGACGGCCATCCCTCCCCTCTTGCTAAAAAAGGGGAAGGGGAAAGCTCCCGTCAGCTCCATAAGGAGGATCCCAGCATTGCTTTGATTGAGGTGGGGGGGAATTGAAGCTTTGGGGATCTCCTCAGGGCTCATGAAAGGGATCTCCTAGCTCAGGGGTAGGCAGCCTTGGCTCTTTTATGACTCGTGGACTTCAACTCCCAGAATTCCTGAGCCAGCATGACTCAGCTTGGAAACCTCTCCCTTTCCCCTCAGCATGGCTGGCTCAGGAATTCTGGGAGTTGAAGTCCACGAGTCATAAAAGAGCCAAGGTTGCCTACCCCTGTATTGTTTGGGCTATTTGGGGTCATAAAGAGAAAGAATTTTCCTCTTATCTTCACTTCTTTTTCCTTCGTCCACCAGGAGCTACCTGGAAAAAGCCTCTCACCAAACCTTGGCCTGCAAGGCCCTTCAAGTGAAGAGCCTCCAGAAACGATGCAGCGGGGAAAAGCCTTTGAGCAAAATCCCCCTCAGAGGAACGGGGAGAGACTCTCCAGGTGCTCCGAGTGCGGGAAACCCTTTGCTTACCGGTCCCTCCTTTTGATCCACCGGAAGCTGCACACGGGGAACGGATCCCATTTGTGTTCGACATGTGGGAAATCCTTTCCTGAAGTGTGGGCCTTTGCCAAGCATCTCAGGAGCCATCCTGAACTGAGGCCTTACAAATGCGGAGAGTGCGGGAAGCGTTTTGCTAAAGGCTCGGACCTTGGAGCCCATCAGCGGATCCACCAGGGAAAGAGACCTCGGGAATGCCAGAACGGGTGGAAAACACTGGGCTTGTCTCAGAGGTCAGAGCTGCTTCAACATCAGGAAATCCACCCAGGAGAGAAATCTTACAAGTTCGGGCAA